TTTCGAGTCACACAGTCGAGTCAAGATCATCCGATTTCCGAGTCCGAGTCGAGTCCGAGTCAGTAAAAAAATGCGACTCGAGTCGTCTCGAGTCCGAGTTTTGACTCGGACTCGCCCATCCCTGATCAAAGAATGATCGCTTTCTTTATTATTCTTACATCAATATTTAGTAGAAGAATAGTGTAAGAGCCAGTTTGATTTAACGTGAACATTTTTGAGAAAATTGAATCAAATTAAATATTCGAAAGTAAATCTTCAAAAAAAAAAAAATCTCTATAGAAAATAAACTTTCCTATATAATTCGATGTTTTCATTTTAATATTATTTGTACAACGCAACTAAACGAATGAAAAGAAGATTATTATTACAATTTAATATAAGATATTTATTTTAAGGTTTAGTTCAACGAACTTGGAAAGATAATGGTTTAGCTGAACAAATGTTTGAAGAATTAAAATTAACATCAACATCCGAACAGAAAATTCGTCTTTATAATTCATTTGCTAGTGGTTTATTTAAATATAATCATGCTGAAAAAGCTATGATAATTATTGATGAAATGAAACAAAATAATATTTTACTTGATTTAATAACATATAATTATCTTCTTCGTTCAACTAGTTTAATAAAAGAAACATATGATACACGTTGGCTATTTATGAATGACTATTTAAATGAAATGAAACAAAATTCTATACAACCAAATTTACGTACATTTAATTCAATACTTTATACATTAAGACGTTGTTCATTATATGAACGTGGTCCGACATTAGCATTATCATTATTAAATGAAATGCGACAATGTGATATTGAACCATCACTTGGTACATGGGCACATATTATTATGATTTTTTATCCAAATGATCAAATTGGTTATGATACACAAATATTACCACAAATTATGGATCAATTAGAAAAACAATTTGAATTAAATGGAAAACAATTTCAATGGAGAGATATTGATGATAGAGAATTCTTTTTTAATGCTATGTTTAAAGCTACTGTCAATTGTCGAGATGTTGATTTAGGTAAAAAATATAATTTACGATATTTTTTTCTTTTACAAACTTATATATCAGAGATGCAGCCTAAACAAAGGATAAGAATTGAGTATTTTTATGAAATGGGCATATATTGGTTTCCTGCTGGAAAATGATTGAATGTTGAAAGCATATATAGAATTTCATGGACTAACGAGGGAAGGTCCCCAACAGTCCAATCGCTTTTGAGTTTGGACTCTGTGCATAAGGTAGACCCCAGTGAGGTATGAAAAAATCCCAAAAGGATAATGGCCCTTAGACCTTCTGTCCAGAGTTATAGGGATTTTACTGGAATTTTAGCCTATGGCATGGTATTTATCAACAAATCGAATGACGATATTTCGGGTTGAAATTTTGTCCATAGACAGGTCTAGTTGTGAGTTGAATCCCCTGAAGATTTCAGCTCAAAAGAATATTTCCTTCTCGAGATATTAAAGTCCAAAAAATTCTAGCATCTTTTGTGAGATATGAGTGATTTTTGGGACTTTAATATTTCGGGAAGGAAACATTATTTTGAGCTGAAATTTTCAGGGCATTCTATTCACAACTATACCTGTCTATAGGCAAAATCTGAACCCGAAATATCGTCATTCGATTTGTTGGTAAATATCATGCCATAGGCTGAAATTCCAGTAAAATCCCTATAACTCTGGACAGAAGGCCTAAGGGCCGTTATCCTTTTGGGATTTTTCATACCTCACTGGAGTCTACCTTATGCACAGGGTCCTAACTCAAAAGTGATTGGACAGTTGGGGACTTTCCCTCGTAAGTTTTTCGGGTCTTGATCTAGAGAAAACTGTTTCAGAATTTATTTAATCGATTAATAGTATT